GCCGGCACTGTTCAGAGAAGATGGGGATGCCACGTATAGTGCTCTTGATGCTGCTTCTGATAGCAGCGCATTGTTGCCCACGCAACAGCGCTGTATGCTGCTGGCACTGCACGACTGCTAGTAGCAGCGTCGCTACTGCCGTCGAAAAAAAAATTCCTTTTTTTTAGACTTTAAAAAATTGTAATTCTTTTAAAACTCCATAAGTTGAAAATTTCTTAAAATTCAATATGAATTGTGAAAGACAATAACGAAAAATATACTGTAAAAATTCTCAAATTTAACAAAATATAAATCCAAAATTGTCAAATTTGAAAACTCCAAAAAATATTATAAGAACCAAATAAATTATTTGATTCCCAATAACTCAACATGAAAAGGCTTTGATACCACTTGTAGGAGAAATTTTACCTACATAATCATCGAATCTTTCATGTTGGATCATCAAGAATATATAAACTAAAGCGGAAGCGTACCTAAATCAGATATGGTTAATGCAATAGCTGAATCTTGGAATTTTGTTTTTCAAATCAACATGCAGCCCTTAATTCTCTCTGATGATGAGAGGCAAAATAGAATGAGCAATGCACGTGTGATTTGGAGACCATAATCGTATTTATATACTGACACCCTTTAACCTAACTCGGCTTGTCATAGAATTAGGAACATGGCCCAGTCTATACAGATAAAAGACCCACATTTTAATTGGATATGTTAAAGCCCAAAATATCAAAATTTTATTAGATCACTTTTAAATGGGTTTAACCAAATTTGATAGCCTCCAATTCAACACACAATAAATTCACACATATAGGCCCACATGATCGATTTAAAACTCGTTACATCAACAACCAAGCTAGTGCCACGTGTCTAAATCCAGTTAAACATGCTTCATTAATAAAGTCGTATATCTCAAAACACATTTTCAATGCAAATTCTGGAAGCACCAATATTCAGACTAGGGTTCGAATCCAACACCAGATCATCAAAGCAAGACCGCCATCACATCTCCAACATCATCAAAAAGAACAAAAAAGTAAAATATATCCACCGCCACCGCCATCATTTGAAGCAAAGGTGGTTTGTAATGATGGAATTTCAAGGTTGTTTCGCCAAATGTGCTCCTCCTTGTCAATATCGAAGTCCGCTCCTCTCTTTCATCTATACATGCCTATGTTATATTTGTCGTAGATGGGGTATTTTAGGTAGTAAATAGATGACCAGACACAATGGTGGTGGACAATCTATAATATGCTTTCATGTCGACATCACCACCATCAATAGCCAGACAATCGAAAATGATGGTGTGTTGCTAGTCACTGCAGAGATTAATTGAAATTACATTCCAAGTTCGACTTAGTAGAAAATTGGATCTTAAGATAGGTAGCTGGCTCACCCTTCTTTGAGATAGATTCCAATCTTCATAAACACGGGTTAATACGACAACATCTGACAATGTTTTTGGCCTTCTTGAATCTTGCCTGAACCTCAACTCTGATAGAATCTCGTTATCCACTAACAAAACTATTCAAATGTTGGTCAGAAGAAAGATGACCAACCTTAGCCAAATAACTCCTCTAACTGAGATTGATATTCTTGCACGGTTGATGTTTATTGTAATCGCATGAGCTCCCCAAAGAAATCACAAAATTTGTTTAGGCCAAAGCGGGAGAGAATTCCATTGCTAAAATCACCCCAAGTGAGATTATTAGAATCTTGCTTCAATAATTTGTACCACAACTGCCATCTCCCTCAAGATGAAATGAGGCTAATGCTATATGATTCTCCGCCGGAGTATCTTGTGTTGAGAAAAACGAGTAATTTGTGTGTAGATTATAAGTTAACATAAAAAAATTATAATATGAATTGCATAAGTTAGAATATCAAATTATAATAACATAAATATAATTATAAGAAGAGAATTAGTAATGCAAGTCTTGGAGGGTCACATCAAGGATGTTGTTATAAAGTTGGGTTGTCTCCCTTTTGTGTGAGTACTCTCTGCATTACACGACTTCAAAATAAAATTCATATGACTCAGAGTCAATTCTCCTTCTATGAGCAGTATCGTACAAAGATAAAGAAAGAATATTTATTGAGATGTCAAAAACTATATGAATATAATAATATGAAATGTATATGGGAGAATAATTATTTAACTTGTGTTTTCAAGAAGTATATCAAGTTATTTTCAATAATGAAATATTTTCTCGTTTTATAGGTAAAATTTCAACCCTCACATTTGAACCATTGAAATATAAGTTACAATATAAATTACCCCCTCCGTCTAAATAAGGGTAAATTAGTAAAATTTTTGGCAAAAAAAATTACTTTTTCAATAATATTTATGATTTCATAATTCGTGCGAAAAAAAATTAAAAATAAAATAAAATCAGCCTATATAAATGAGAGGGAGGAAGTATGATGTTTTACTTTCGTGTTAAAACCGAAAATAAAATCAAAAATAGAAAATTAAAAGGTTATAATGTGTGGAAGGTTAATACTTAATTTTTATGTTACAACATCTTGAAACTAGAAAAATTGCTCCGCTCTGCACAACCAAATTCTTCGGATCCTCTCCACAGTTAATTCGACAAAAATCCATATTTATCAATTTAGGTGCATTAGAACTTGATGAACCAAGACCTGGAGATTCTCTATTGGTGTTTGCACGTTTACCACTGATGTTGTGAAGAATCTTCATTTTCTTGGCCCAAGTGTCCAGCAATATAGTCCTAATTGGTGTTCAATTTTGCAAAAAATTCTGTCATCTTTGGGATAAAATTCTGCTAATTCTATTTGATGTCTTGTTATCCATTGGTGAGAATCGAGATACTTTATTCAATCCTTCCATCCCTGTGGTCTAATACAAGCTGATACATATCATTTAGATTTGCCTATTTTGATTGTTATCACATTCAACAACTGTAAAGAAAAGTGTTAGTCAGAGAAATCCAAATTCACCCATCGATTTAACTCAGTTGAGTAAAAGTAAATCATATATGATTGTTATTCAATAATTCACCCGCATACATAGTGGTGTCTTAGAACCATAAACCAAAATGAATAGAAAAAAATTGGTGCAATATAAAAGGAATAACTTCTAAAACTAACTAACTAAAAGACTATGTCAAACTTGGATTTTCTCAATTGAACTTATTCAATGTGATTTCAATTAATCCCTGTAGTGACGCTAGCTAACTTGCAAAATGTTTCAAGTCACTGCTGGGGATTAATTGAAATTTATCTTTGTTGTTTCACTAGTTCTCAACTTACACGGTGGATCAGCTGGTTAAACAGGGCAAAATATTGTTACAAAGCTAGTTGGCATTCAACTATCAAAAGAACTCCATTTGAGGTGGTGTACGGTCAAGAACCACCAAATTTGTTGAGCTACATACCAAGAACAGCAAAGGTGGCTTCCATAGATGGGGAGCTAAGTGAGAGAGATTTGATCTTGAAGGAACGTGGTGAACATTAAGGAAAATCAAGCTAGTGTGATTTTAGGGAAAGCTACATTGAATTAGCTTCCTCTAAAAGCTCGTCTAATTAAAAGAAACACTTTTATAAAATTAATCAAAATAATTTAAAAGTAGCTAAAAATTGATACGAATTATTCTAGTTGATGTTAATTGTTAGTGTTTTGCTAGAAAACAGGGGGGCTGTTAGCCCCCTTGACCAAACCTCACCCAATAGGTGGGGGGGCCCTTTTTTTTTTACACGGGACCCACCCCTATGGGTGGGGTTCGGTCAAGGGAGCTGTCAGCCCCCTGTTTTTCTAGCAAAACCCAAAATGTTAATGTAAGGACATATTAGGCATTAAACAATTCAACGGTTGAGTAAGATTCATTTTGACCCTAAAAATTGATCGTCAGAATTTTATATTGGTCCTTACTCGAAGTTAAAAATATTATCAAAATTAAAAAAAGAATTAAATACATGTCCTTAACAACCAAAAGACCATCATTTCTTATTTTAGTAGGTCGTTATATTTTTTATTTTAATATTATTTGGAGAAAATTAGTAGGTTGTTATATTTTTATTTTAATATTATTTGGTAAAATTTTAATGGTTACATTAATTTCCAATTATTTTATAATATCTTTGAAATAGGAAGTTTAAAACCGAAAGAATTTCTAAAAGTCTCGGTCTTCAATTATTAATCATAATGGACTTAAAACGTAATATTAGGTCTTTGAAAAGTTCAACAATCTTTTGATTAAGTTTCCACAAGAGAGCAATAGCACTATCAAAGACCCTTGAGACAAGTAAAGAAGTATGGCTTTTAGTGAGACTAAAGTAGTGTGAAATGAAAAAAATATTCTCAATATCTCTTAAATTCGTATGAAACATCTCTATTGTCATTGTGCGCGCATATTGAAAAGTATCCACTCTCAACATACTCCTTGGCGCGATTAACGCCATCAATCATCAACTCATTTATTTTTCTAATCCCTTCCAATATTTGTCTCAATCAACTTCTTTTATCCACCAATTCTTGACCTTAATTTTGATAATCTACATAAAATTAAAGGCCAAAATATTTGGTCAACACGAGCTTGACCCAACTAATCTACTAGCCTCATTACCTCGGCCTAATGCAGCCTATACTGTTCAATCCATTTTACACTTTTCATCGAGCTATAATAAAGGAGTCATGCTTTTTAGCACAACTGGTATTACACCACCAATCTAGATGGCATTAAGTAACGTTAAATGAAATATACAATTAAATTAATCATATAATTTTACCTTTAATTAAACATATCATACAATGTCACGAAGATTGGTGTTCTAGTATTACTTGTGCTGTATAGCATTATTCATAATAAAAACAAATTCTATAGGACTAATCTATTTTGATAGAAGAAAAATGAATGGTCGACAGATGTGCTTGTGGCATGTTTTAAATTGCTTAATAATAGGATGTCATGTGATATTATATCAAGGATTATGTCAACCATTGTGTCACTATATCATAATTGTATACTATATATATAGTCTCAACATGATAAGAGAAATCATTATAGATACCTCCTAAATTGATTTCAGTTCGAACTTACCATTTCAATACAGAAAACAGAAGAATCCCATCTGTTAGCAATCTACAAACATATTGTTCTCTATATTACTTCCTAACTTGATCAAACTACTAATGAACTAAGTAGTAAGTTGCCATTGCTTTAGTTTCACAGTGCAGGGTCCCATGAATGTGTTGAAAACATAGGATTTCTTTGTCTATCTCTTGCGCTTGGACTTTAAGGATGTCACAGATTGTGAATTGCTGTGCCAGTTTCTCTTCCTTTGGTTTATGAACCAATTGTTTATTTGCTTCAGCTGCAATCCTGTCTGCTCTACAAGCTTTGCCTTGTCATCTTCCTGCAAGAAACATAAAATTTTTACGATTATTGTAAAGTTGAACCATCACGTCTAAAAGTTTAAACTGTTAGTCTATTAGAAAGAGGACAACTTTAACACGTCCTTGCACATACAAGTTAGCTTCATTTTTTCAATAAAATTTGATATGTGCAATTTTAGGCAACCAGATTTGAACTATGCCATTTTGAGTCGAATGATCTAAAAACTTAAGCACTTTCGTTCATTCCTACTCGTTTTACAGCAGTAGAGTTCTATTTACGGTTCAAAACATAAAACCATTCTCTAATACACCATATTACTGCTGGACATGGATCACATCTCGCCAAGCTTAAAAGGCAACTTTTTTTACAAACAATCTGTTACATTTTTCTTAATTTTACTTGAAAAATGTTAAGACCTAATATGAAAGTAAGTTATGTAGTAAGATTTGATAATGCAAGTTTAAACACTTATTCTTAATAAATTTAAGATCGACTATGTACATATGGTTTAGGAACTTACAGTTGGATACGGCCACTTGGAGTGTTGCTGCCACCAATTCTTGAGCACTGTAGTAGTGTCACCTGGCAATTTTCCTGCCCTTCTCTTTCTTAATATTTCTTCCCTCACATCTTCAATTCTTGACTTAAATCCCTGAAAATGGCATATCATACCAAATGCAATATGCAATTGCCAATTAGATCAAATAGAATATTCTTGTGTTTTTGGAGAAAAATTCAAATGAATAATACATACTATTTCTCTCTTAAAATCTTGTGTTTTTCGAGAAAAATTTCCAACAAAAAATACACACTATTTCTCTCTTTCTCTTATCATAACCGACGTCTAGGTTCTAGGGACTTATGCACCACAAATGGGAACTAATAAAGAGATCCACGATCAAATAGAAAGACATGGCCATCCCAGGTTAAAGAAAAAGAAAAAGAAAAATAGAAAATTGATCTTCTAAGACGGATAAATAGATATCAATCATTTCTATTCATGTTCTTTCTTTGATCTCTTTACTTCTATGATTTAGACATCTCGTATTTCTTGAAATGATAATTTGATTGATGGAATATATTGTTTTCCTAATCACAATTATTCTAAAATCTTTGTTTTTCTAGATAATTGTAACCCTATAAATATAGACTTCTATGAAATTTCAAAAACACATTTATACACATTATATAATTCACACGCATGATCGAAAATAATTTAGAAATTCACCTGTTTAAGCTCTACTTTTAATTCCTGCCTCACTCGCTCCATTAGAGACCTCTCTGATTCCGTTGGAAGCAATGGACCAAATCCCATCAGATCATTAGCATCAACTCCAGATTGATCCAATGAGAATTCCATCTGCAGCTCATCCTCATCATCAGACATAGTAGCACCAGATCCTTCCCCAAGTGTTGCCCCTGTGTGGGAAAATAAGAATAATCACAAAATACTAAGGAAATAATTCTTTTGAACGTAATCAAGACATGCAAAGTTCAACTACTTTTTATAATATTTTTCTGCCACATTAAAAATCAATTCAACATGCAACAACCTATCTTTCATAAAGATCCCTAATCAAGAAACAAATGATATATTGATGAATTATATTATAAATCTGAGTTGCAACCTCGAAACACGATTTTCTAGTTATAAAGTGATGTAAAAGATTGATCATATTGTGAAGTTTATCACTAACACTACCAAATCAATTGCAATGACGCATGTTAGAAAATGGGATCGAGTCTGATGCATCAATTTTCTACTCAAATACCCTTGTCCAAGATAGTGAACAATACGAAGTAAAGTGATGCTTCTTAATTTTAATAATTTTGTATTTAAACTCCAACCAATAAATGGATAATATAAGAATAATGCTATTTAGTCACCTTACATAGTATTCTATATGACGGTTTGTTATATAAGACAATAATTTTTTATAATTTTCTTATCTAAAATAACAAGTTAATGCCTCAATAACAAACTGCCATATAAGATGACTGCAGTAATCGCTGATTATGAATAACTTTACTCATAATATAATTATTCAACCTTGAGTTGTCATGGGACGTATATTTAAACATCAAGATTAATTTCTCCGAATTAACCAACTTTTTTTTGGTCCATTATAGATGATTTGTATGTGTAACATTCAACTTGATATTCCAGTGCAGCTGTCAGTTGTTATTGTTGTTGAGTTGTTGTCCCACGATGTTGCTTCCAACAGTCAACCAAACCCTCCTAACCATATAACTAATAGTTTAGAATAAAAATGTCCCACTCTACCCACCTCTTGTTGTACTCTCACACAACCTTACAAAAAACCCCCAACTTGGTTTTCTTATTGCTCAGCCTACCAAACCAATCAAAATCATCCAAGAAAATCCTAAAGTATCATTAAATCAGATTGTTTATTCAATTGATACTTCATATTTCTAAAGTGCAGTTACGTGTTGATGAAATATTGGATTAATCACAAATAATATCAAAGGCTAAGGTCTTTTCAAATATAAAGCTTATAAAATTGGATGATTTATTTATATTTCTATCTATTGGATGTGTGCACGTACACGCAACATAGGAAAACTCCAATTTATTATGTAAAATGAAAGAAGACAAAAAAAAAACCGAAAGTAACGTATCATGTTTTGAGTTGCTAATCTTAATTGCTATTACACTTTTTATAAATATAAATATAAATTATATAGAATAGTAAATAAAAGATGATGAAAAATTGATAAAAATTGTAAATTTCATAAAATATGTAGTTGAAACTAAGATTCGACCTGCAAGAATTTTTTGACATCTTGGATGACAGTTGGACTGTTTAAAAAATAGTCAATACTACCATCCAATCATTTTTTGTCACAATTTATATGCCTCGTTTGGTACACATTAGTGTAAAAATAAGAATGAAAAATGTAGTCGTTATGAACCCCACACAAGAGATAGAAATTCAAATTTGATGGTTTGATTTGATAGATAACGGTCATATTTTTTATTTTAATATAGAAAAAATGGGAAACAAACAGGGGCATATCTATATATAGAGAGAGAGAGAGAGAGAGAGAGGGGGGGGGGGGGGGGGGGCGGGTGTGGGGGGGGGGGGGGGGGGGGGGAGAGACCGGGCCTCTCTAATAGCCTTGGAATTTGTTATTTCCATTCAGTTGAATATCCAGAATTCAGTTCATTAGCCTTATCTTTTATAATCATATCTACAGATTCATATACATTCTTATAAAAAAAAAAAAAAAAAAAAAAAAATCTATTTGTTTGAAGTCAAAATCTTGTTTATTAATTTCTTCCCATACCTTATTGCAACTCCGGTTCAACCTTCAAAACCTTATTGTCAATCTACTTACAACCACACAATTTGTAGAAAGAACTTTTAAGAAAGCAAACCTCCCAAGAAGTTGTCCATAGATGATATTTTAACAAAATTAAAAAACTTATATATAGCAACTGTACATATTCGGTTCATCTTTCAGAATCCTACTATCCAGTATTGTTTAATCTACTTTACCAAACATGGGATTCGTACTTCCAAGAAAGAAAACCTACCAAGAAATTGTCAAGCTCTTGCCTTTGATGTGGGGATAAAGGATTAGTATTCTGCTGAGCATAAGAGCGCGTGAGATTATGAGACTGTGAAAGCTGAGCATCAATAAGGGGCAGCTGATCGATGGGCGTGGCCACACGGAGGCAGGCTACATGTGCCGAAAGAAGCTGTTCGTATAGCGGATGTGTGGCGATCTCCACCTTGAGCTGGTGGTGCTGCTCGCCGGAAACCGCCATAGTAACATTGTTTAACCCTCCTAATCCTCCACCAGCAGATCCCGCCATGCTTATACCTTGCTCTTGCATTTTTCTCAGCACAAAACAACTTTTTTACAGCCTTCTGCTTTGATCAATAATGCAGCAAGACAGTGAGTTCATGTACAAAAACCAAAATTTGGGTTTTGAGGAAACCGAAGCGAAAAAGGGACCACTTACAGAGTTTCTTGTTTTAGACAAGAAGGACACGAAAAACACGCAGTACTGAATTAGGCTGGATGAACAAGTATTTAACTATGTTACTGAACATGCCAGAAAAGACTTGTGATGGTTTGAAATATATTCACTGGGGTGTGCATGAAAATTGTTTTTAAAGAGAAAATAAATGAAGATTAGAGTAAAATAGAGCAGAAAAATTTCTTGTTACTGATGTGAAAGATAACCCTTATTGGGATCTGAACCACGGCTTTATGAACCTATTCTGAAGAATTTGAACATACAAAATTGAAATAAAAAACTCTGCAGGCTTAAAACAGATATAGAAAAAACAGATGGGTGTGAGAGAAAGACGGATATTTTTTTGGAATTTTGATGATTTGATTGATTTTTGTTCAGTACTTGAATATGTGGTGGGTGGGGGATAGATACAATAGATAAAGATGTATCAATGGCCTAACATCTTTTTCATTTTTATTAGCGTTTTTATATTTTTAACATTTATTTTCTGGGATATTATATATATAATAGATACCTTAGCGTTAGACTTTAAAATTGATATTTTTTTGGTAGGATTAGTTGATGTTGATTTTAGTATTAAAATAGACCTCACAAACATGTTAACATTTGATATGGACATTTCATTTGATGGCATGTGTGTGTCCATTTATTTAATGTTACATAATTTTCTCTTAGTTATAGGCATCATTAATTTATTAGTAATCGTTAAATGTGTCCAGATCAATCGAACTCTCACGTTAGTAATAATTTTCATTAGCTCGAATAGGCCTACAAACCCTGTCCGATAGAAGGCTAATCTCGTCCGATTAGGGACAAGACTAACTGGTTACATAAAAAAATTAAAAAAAAAAAAGGAAAAAAAAATCAGAGAAAGCCATCTTTAGGCAATTTCAAGACCAGAAACCTCAATATTGAATATCAACTTTAACGGCATAAGCTTTTCTCTTCATCTTTTCTTCTCCTTTCTTTTGTACATTAATACAACATTTACGATCCTTTATAACTATTAAGCTTGTACCCTCGGGACCTGACTTGCTCGCTGGGGAAGGAGGGTCAAATGATGGTTCGGTCCAATTCAATCCTAAATTGATTCCTTCACATTATTCCTCACGGTTTGACCTCGATATATATTATGGTCTTTTTATTTTGAGACATTATTAGAGACGCTTCCTCTTCTTTTAAATAATGTGAGAGATATTTTGCACGTTTCAAAAATATCACAAACATCCCATATTTCTAGTTTTGAGTATCATGTTCACCCCGACAGCCTTTAAACACATGGTTAATTATATCATTTTTGTTAATTACAACACTTTGATTGCAATAAGTTATTTGTGTCCTTAAAATTTGCTTATTTTTGCATTAATATCTACAATTTTTTTCGTCATGCTTATATCTTTAACCTTCAATAAGTTAACGCATTATCTCTAACTATTGTTGTCCAAATATTAGGTTAACGTTGGAGAATTATTTTGAAAAACTTTTTATTTATTAATTATCTTGCTTATTTAAAAATACGAAGGGCATATAGGATTTTTTTACTTCATCCTATATAACAGATTTTTTTGCTCGTTGTCTGGAAAAAAAGATGTGCTTGTTAACATAAGATTAAAATAAACGGAATTTTTTTTTTGAGGATTTAAGTATGGAAATGAGCAAAAGATAAGGACTTTCATTATAATTATAGCGTTATAGTTAACATAAACTGTAGTTTGAATATATCGTGTGTCCAAATAGTGATAAGGTATAAATTGTTAAGATATAAGTTGCCCTTAAAACTAATGCATAAAACCTTATACCATGCAGAGTTAATGACTCAAATGGTCACTAAAATTTGTAAAAAGAATTTACAGTGTCACTGAACTTTGCAAAAGGTTTCGACAGAGTCATTGTACTTTAAAAAT